GGTCTGCTTCATGCCATCACAGAGGGGACAGGGAAATGCAGGTTCTGACGTTAGGTGATAGACAGCAGGCAGGCGGGCGGGCCAGTCACGTGACTGCTGCCATGGTGAATGGGTCTGCACCATTAATGTCATGAAATGCGGACTAGGGTAACTTGTTCACAAACAAGTTCGGAGGAGGTTGTAAAGCAGTTATCAACAGCTGCCTCTGAGAAACTGGTTCTGTCCCTGGTTGGTGATTAGAGGGTAAGTTAACCGAACTGCTAGAAAACTATGACAACTAGGATGCTCAAATATGACAAATTTGACAAATGGCTGCTCGCTGGGTATATTAACTCCATGTCATGTTCTTTCATTTTCCCCTTGTTGTTTTAAAATATTCTTATTTGTAACTGTGCACAGGGACAAAGGTCAGGCTTCTGTAACTGCTTCCTGACGGATAGTGGTGTAGAGATGTCCCTACCTGTCTAGAGTGTAAGGAGGGGATGAGAGGACAGAAGCCCAATGGAGTTGCTAAGTATCTTTTGCACCTACATACAAAGTACTGTGCACAAGCGTCTACTATCAGAATTACTACTTCTATAATAAAGGCCATTATAGCCACTGTTAACAACATATGAAGGTTCTGATGTCTAGTAAAATACATTTACAAATAGTTACCCCAGGGGGCTCGACACCCACCACAGGAATCCAGGCAGTTCCCACTGTTGTTCCAGTGAATTCCTAAGTCCACACATATCTGTCCCCACAGCTTGTGGGACTCATTTTCGTATGTTAGTTTCGAATCTAGCCAAGTAACAATTCTATTTTAGTTTTATTCGTTTATTGCTTATTTATTTTGTTTCTGGTACTGAAACCTAAAATTAAGTTTTATTACGTATTTTCAGTAATTATGACACATTATATTGGTTAGAAACTCCAAGGTAAGTAGCAGTAAATATGCAAGTATACATATCTTATTCTGAAAATGTGATTACACACACTAATGTTTCATCATAAAGTGTGATGCCAGCTGTAGATTTTCAATGTTCCAACGTGGTTTCATGGTTCTCTCCTGTAACTGGTTTATGTGGCAAGTTCAAGATTTTTCTTTGTATTCTTTGGCCATGGTGTTTCCTCTCTTAATTTAGTGGTATGTTTGATTTTTCTTAAAGGATTTGTAAAATCTTACAGGTTTTACTCTAAGATCTTCCCTTTGATCTTTTAATGATTGTCACCTTGAATTCAATTTTGTCTATTAATATTGCAGCTTCTGCTTTTTATGTCATTTTGTTTTAAATGGCCTCTTGTAAAGAGGATATATGTTTTTTAAAATGTAAACTGAGACACCTCTACATTAAAGAAGAGATACCTTAAGTTATTCACATTCATTGTCAAACTGATTTAAGATAGAATTTATAGTAGTAAACTTGCCCTGAATTTTCTCATTCTTTGGATTTCCTAATTCCTATATGCTTGGCAAACATTTAATGTGCGCTTGAAAAGCAGGTGCATCTTCTGTACTTGTGTGCCGTGTTCTAAATATTCCTACTAGGTTGAGGTTGGTGGCACTGCTCAGTCCAGTATCATGATAGTCTCCTGTCTTCTTTTTCATTAGCTACTGAGAGAGGAGTATGTTGAAATGTCTCACTTTCATTCTTGATGTATCCATTCCCCCATAATTCTGAGGTTTATACTTCACGTTACTCGCAGATCTGCTACCAGATGCACACACTGACGATCACATTTCCTGCCATGAATCGATCCTATGACACTGGCCAATGTCCTTCTTCACCTCCGTAATAGCGTCTGTCCTGTGATCTATTATTTCTGATATTATTGATATGGCTTCTCCAGCTTTACAAGCAGTGCTTACACGGTGTATCTTTTGACATTCTTACATGGTGTATCTTTTGACATTCTTACCTTTAAACTATCTGCACCTTTACATTTGAGGTAAATTTCTTACAGACAGCAGAGAACTGAGCCATGCTTTTTCATCCATCCTGACAATCTTTGTCTTTTAGTTCGAGTGTACAGTCCCTTAACATTTAATACAGTTACTTATACGGCTGCATTTGCTATTTGCTTCCTGCTATTTGCTTTATATTTGTTTTCACCTCTCCTTTTTCCCTCCTTTTCTGCCTCTTTTGATGCAACTGCATTTTTAACATTCTATTTTACCTTATCTATTGGCATGCCAAATAACTTTTGTTGGTTTGAGCGGTTGCTGTAAGGGTTACTCAACCTTAAAGCAATCTTACATGCTTTGTGGACAGTTTAACACCCTTCTAACTTCACAACTTGATACTTCCGCTTTCCTCCTTATAAATCTTTTGTACTTCTGTTGTCATATGAGTCTATGACTATGTGTTAAAAACTCCACAGTGGGTCAGGCACGGTGGCTCTTTGGGAGGCCAAGCACTTTGGGAGGCCGAGGTGACAGGATTGCCCATGGATGCAAGACTAGCCTGGGCAACCTGGTGAAACCTCATCTCTACAATAAATAAAAAATTAGCTGGGCATGGTAGCGCACACCTATAGTCCTGGCTACTTGGAAGGCAGAGATGGAAGGATCGCCTGAGCCCAGGAGGTCGACGCTGGAATGGCCATGAGTATGCCACTGCACTCCAGCGTGGACAACAGAGTGAAACTCCAACTCAGGGAAAAAAACCCAAAAAAACTCCACAATAAACTGTTAATATTTTTGCTTTAAATGGTTGACTATCATTTATTCTTAAATTTAGCAAGTTCCTCTGCTCCTCATTCCTGTGTAAATCTGAGTTTTCTTCTGTTATCATTTTCCTTCAGCCCAAAGAACTGTATTTATTATTTCTTATTTCTTATAGTGTATTATGCTGGTGATAAATCTCTTCTACTTTTGTTTATCTCAAAACATATATTTCACTTTCAGTTTGAAAAGTATTTTTGATAAATATACGATGAAGGTTGACTTTTTAAATTCAACTTTGTAAAGGTGATATTCCATTGTGTTCTGGTTTGCACTGTTTCTGACAAGAAGTCAGCAGTAATACTATCATTCCCTACAAATATTTTTCTCTTTTTCACTGGTTTTCAATACTTTGTGGTGTGCCTTGGTATAGTTTTCTCTGCTGAGATTTATTTAGCTTCTTGGACTTTACATGGTATTTGTAAAAAATTCCTTTATTTCTTCAAATTTTTCCTGCTTCAATTACAGCTACAAGTCACACTTAACTTTAGAATATTTCACAAATAACATTTAACAATTTTTTTGGATGAAAAAAAGAGGTGATTAAATAGGGACTAACCAATTTCTAATTCTTGTTTGTACTATTAATATTTACATAAACAATATGCATATTACAATTTTTAAATGCCATTATAATTATAATTTACAATGGGATGTGAGGCACACAGTATAAAATCACCAAAAAAACTAATTTAAAAATTTAATTTTTAAATAATGTGCCCCAAACTTGTTCACTTGTCTTCGTTAATAATATAACAAAATTTATATTGTTACTCTTAGACAATAGGACAATAAGTGCACATAAAAATCAAAAATATTCTCCTCAAAAGCAGAAGACAAACATTTAGTTTAAAAAATGATGTAAGCTTTATAAAATCTGAGCAGTCCCCAGAGTCAAAGAACTTCAATGTTCAATCCCACTGCTACTTCAATTAAAAAAAAAACAAAAAAAAAAACTGTTACCAAGACTAAGAAAGAAAAAAAAAATCTAGAAGAGCCTAAGAAAATATACTTTCAAACTTTTGATGAATGTTGGCATAATGCTCTTTAAAACTATTGCCCTAATTTGTACTGTCACTAAAAAAGTATGAAAATACTCAATTTCCTAGAAGTTCCGTTAGCATATAGTATCAAACTTTTTATTCAACTACTAAGTACTGAAGCATATAAATAAAATAGAATTACAAACATTCAGCTAAAAATCTAATAATTTAAAAGGCGCACACAAACAATTTGTGCGAGGGCATAACAGAATGTATTTTATAGTCTCTCAGGTCTGTATAAATCTGTTTATGTAGACAATATGACAAACTTCAGGACAATAAAACATGGAAGTGGCAAAAAAATTAAGCTAATCCACTCTAACCACTCACACTAAGTGGGAATCTCCTGGCTCCACCCCATTTCTGGCCACTTCTAACTGACGTCACACTCTTCTGCCTGCTGAGCCAACAGTTGCCTCCTTGTGCTTTCTGCGCAGTCGACACTCAGAGCAACGGAGCATGCACAGATCAGCCCTGTCACCCCATGCCCTTTCAAACAGCTGAGACGTTTCCTTCAAGTTCGACACTTCTTTCCTTAGTGTACTTTGCCACACAGGTATTTACTCACATGTCTAACTGACCTATGAGACTACAGGCTCTGTGAAGACAGCACAGACATCTTTTAAGCCTTAACCTCAAGCGCCTGTTACAAAGAAGGCACCTTCTACACTGCTGGATGAACAGAAATGGAAAGGAAATTTATAGATAATGTGGTCTGATTTCTCACGGGTAGACAATTTTGACAATATTTTTCTTAAAATCAAGAAGGTAAGATTATCTGATCTGTCAGTTTCTTCTAATTGTAATATTCTAATTTTTTAATGTATGGACTTTTGTCTTGAACACACTCCTGATAAATAATACTGAACAGTTTTTACAGAGAAACGCTTAGGTCCAAAACATTCTATAAAACAGTTCATTTGCATTACATAGCAAACATATTACTGATTTTCCAGAACATATTCATTATTCTGATATGTTAATTAACATAAGGGAATTTGGTATTGTGACTATAGAGCTCCAATTACAGTCAAAGTAACTTGGGACTGAAATACAGGCATGGGATAAGTACAGACAGTGTCAGGTTAGATCCCTTGGGGTGCTGAGGCAGAAACACGGTTGAGAACCGTGAGAATCTCCTATTCTTGAAAATAAATTTTTCTAAAAAATGTACTTGACATTTAAAAATTTTTTAAATTTTAAATTCATTTGTGAATTTTCACTAACTGCTTGGGACTAAAAATACTCACTTCACTGTAGCACTTAGAAGAAAGTTCAGCTGTGGCATTAGCAGGTTGTCTGGGGCCGACAGATAACGATCAAACTGAACCTAAATGAATCAGAGAAATGTAAAACATGAAGTACATGTATGTGCTAACAACCATCTCAAAAATAACCATCCCTTTTAAGAATTAAATCTCAGAAAACACATCTCATATTCCAAATATAGAACATTGTGCTCAAATGAGTACTTCCTAAGTATTCTAACTAAAACTCCCCTAAAACTATCAACGTTTTACTATTGTCAGTATTAACAACATCTACTTTTAAAACCTCAAATCCACACCATCCATTTCAGTTTCCCTCACCAAGCTCTTAAGTAATGATATTAAAGAGAAGTAAAGTCATCAGATTTCAAGCCTATCTTACTTCTTGGTTCTACTGTATCTACCAATTATTTCAACTAATAAGTCTTGAGTATCTACGATTAGAAAGGTATTATATTAGGTAAAGGAGAAATAAAAGTGAGCAAAAGAGGACAATCCCTAGCTTCACAGAGCTTATGGGCTAGCAAGAGAGGCATTATAATAATGTAAATAAGTATATAATTGCAAACTGTGCTAAATGCTATGAAGGAATAAAAAACAAGGTGCTATGAAATATAAATGAAGGACATGGTTGTGGGTTTAGTAAAAGCGTCTCTGGGGAGAGGACATCTGAAGAGAGACCTTAAAGATGAGTAGACATTGAGTAAGTGGAGGTGAGCGGGGAGGGTCAGGGAGAGGAGGCTGCTAGGCTGAAGGTTTCGAGTGGAAGGAAACAGGTCAGGAGAGTTCACATAGGACCTGTGTGCTTTCTTAAAGGATTTTAGTTCTTGTAAAAGCATTAATAAATCCTTGAAGTCAGATAGAGAAGAAAACTGATTTAAATTTTAAAAAGCCACATCTGATTCCAGCAAGAATAGAACGGACAACTGAATCCCAGCAGTAGCATGAGGACACCCTTGAGGCAGCCACTGCTGCACGTTTAAACTACAGGCCAGTCAAGGTGAGAGAAGCAGAGATATGTGAGGAAGTCAGTGTCAAGTCACTAGGACTTAGTCACAAATAGGATGAAGGGGCTGACTTCCAGATTTGGGTTCTATCTACAGTAGTTCACAGTGTTATCCTAACACACAGTTGTATTCTTCATCCATTTACTTAGTTGTGTAACAACTGCATTCCTTACTAGATTGTATCTATTTCATCCCAATCCTTCGCAGGATGCCTACAAAGCAGCAGAAACTTGGTTAGTAAATGTTGACATGATAAGTGGACAGATGCTCTTAGCAAGTTCAGAGTTAAGAACACCTGTAAGAGGACCTAGGCTGGGTGGGGTGGGCAGGGATGGTTGGGATATGCTGAGCTGAAGTATCTCAGCAAGCCCCAGGTGAAGGCTACAGGCAGTGCATACAAAACCATGGATCTCATGTAAGACTCAAACAAGAGTCGTTTCTTTAGAGACAATATACTCAACCGAATTGTTGATAAATTATGACCAGGAACACTAAGGATTTTTAATAGGGTTAAAAACATTTTGTGGGGCTGGGAATGGTGGCTCACACCTGTAATTCCAGCACTTTGGGAAGCTGAAACGAAATAACTGCTCGAACCCAGTAATTCAACACCTGCCTAGGTAACATAGCAAGACCTCTTCTCTACAAAAAAATAAAAAAATTAGCCAGGCTTGGTGGTACACACCTGTAGTCCCAGCTACTAAGGGGGCTGAGGTTGGAGGATCACTTCAACCCAGGAGGTCAAGACTACCGTGACCAAGATGATGCCACTGCACTCAAGCCTGGTGACAGAGAAAGACTCCAACTCAAAAAACAAAATGAAAAACTGGGTTATGTTATGGACTGAATATGTGTCAGGAAAGAAGATGAAATAAAAGTAAGAAACGCACGTTTGAGTACTAACTAATGTTACCAATGCACAAACATATGGTTTCATTTTGGGTGGATAAATACCTTGAAGTGGAGTTTTACTGGATAGTATGGGGAGTGTACATATAACTTAAGAAACTTGTGTCATTCTTAATAAATCTAAAATTCATTATTCTCATTTGAACTTTTTTAGCATCTAATTTTCTTTGCATTTCTACAGTTCTGCTGTTACAGTTTCTGTTTGATGTACAGAAGTTAAAACCTGTCTGTATGATGTCTTTTATCATGACATAACGTTCCTGACTTATCCTATTCACTCTTTTAAAATTCTACTTTGTAGTACTAATACAGTCAGCTCTGCCTTCTTCCCTGCAAGGTATCTTGTCTGCCCATCCTTCTATTTTCAGGAAAGCCCTGGCATAAGAAAAACCCTAGAGGATTATTTATGAGAGTCAAACTATCGCAGCAGTGTGGTGACGTGAGTATTTTAAATACTTAGGACAGGCCCATAGGCTCTGGAGGCCAACTTCTTGGGTTGAATGAGGTTGCAATGGAGATTAAAGAGTTAACACAGGGGATCATTCCATGACAGACAGGGTGGTATGACTTACAGCAACATCAAATGGGTACACATACATGCAAAGTAAATACTTAAAAACAGAAAACATGCTACAAAGAATGTGATCATGCCAAAAGGAAGGTACAAGATTTTCACTTGAAGAGAACGCACTAAAGTGGAGTTCGGTGTGTCTCCCGCTCAAGGGTAATAATACATTGTTTCAAGACTGGACTCCAATTTTGGGTATCATCTGAGGAAAGAGTCAAGAGCTGTAAACTAAGAATCATGCCGGCAGCAAGTCTATAATGATCTATGGCCTGATGTTTCTTTCCATGTCTGTCTTTCCTATTTCTCCACTATTAGAAATAAAGCTCTGAAAATGAAGAAATCCTAAATGATAATGATGAGACTATAGGGTAGTGGACACACCTAAAAATTCAAGTCAGTCAGAAGTGCTCAGTTTAAGGAATACAAGCGCAATATGATCACTGGCCCCAGTTTAACACACCGTATCAAGAAATAAAAATGATCACCCAGGACAAAATTATCATATGCCAAAAAAAAAAAAAAGAGAGAAAAATATTGGTCCAAAAGGACATCTAAATTAAAATGTTTTATATGCACTTACCATTGCAGCCTTCAGTGCCACAGAATCCAGGTTAGGTGTACCAGCTAAAGGTCCCTATTTTTAAAAAAAAAAACAGCAAAAACAAGATTAAAAAAGGAGGTATAAATTTTATTTCAATTACTGAATATACCTCATTAGCGGACTGCCCCAATTTAGAAAATCATTTAGCTCGTTTCCAAAGAACTCCAGGGCCGTCTCTTTCAATCTCAGTAAGACCAGGAACAGTGACTGTGAGAGGGAGTAGGAAGCACACATATTCATTAACAACAGACACACAATGCGTCAGGTTTCTGCACATGCATGAAGAAGGCAGTGAAGCACCGGAAGGTGCCAGTGAGACACAGGGGCTTGAAGAGCTTAACTCCAATCACCTTGGAAAGCAGAGAAAGGGAGCAACACTGGTTCCTACTGGTAGAAGAGGCTGCCTTTCCAGAGTAGCGAACCGTGATTGGCTAGATTAAAGAGAGGAGGACTGCTGTTTATATAGCAATCTATGCGTGCAATTAAATGATCATGGCATAGGACTCTGAAAAACTTACCAGTGTGCACATTCTGTATACATTTTACAATACTAACTTTTGTGTCTTTTCATTACTTTTTGTTTGTTTGTTTGTTTGTTTTTGTTTTTTTGAGTTGGAGTCTCACTCTGTCGCCCAGACTGGAGTGCAGTGGCCGCTCCCGGCCACCGCAGCCTCGACCTGCTGGGCTCCAGCGATCCTTCCGCCTCAGCCTTCCAAGTAGCTGGAATTACAGGCATGCACTACCACGCCCAGCTGATTTTTTGATTTATTGTAGAGATGAGGTCTCGCTGCCCAGGCGGGTCTTGAACCCGCGGGCTCAGGCAATCCACTCACTTCAGCCTCCCAAAGGTGCGGGATTACAGGCTGAGCCACCGAGCCCGGCTCCTTTCATTACTTTTAACAAAAACTACTTATACTAAAAAGGATAGCAGATATTTCGGGGGGACTCTACCATATCTCAAGCAGTCATCTGAGAGTTGTACCTGTAATAGTTCACTTATCTTCAGAACAACCCTATGACACAGACACTATTCTGACCCTCAAACTGTAGGCAAGGAAACAGACACAAAAAGTCAGTCAGTTTCTCAGGAAAAAACAGCTAATAAATGGTAGAACCAAAATTAAAATCCAGAGTCCAGCTCGCAAAGCCATACGCTACACTAAACGGGCATGTTTTTAGAACTAGGAATGAATATCTGTGTGCTTACCTGTTCAGGTTTATGTTGCTGTACTGCATTATAGATATAACTCAAGCCCACCCTAGTTAAAACATAAGAGGCTTGCTCATTTATAAGTGTGTCCAAGTGCGCTTCAATCTAAAAAAAGAACACACAATAGAAAGAAAACGTTTTAAAAGAGGAATGACACTGATGAGAGTAGAAGAGACTACCCTGAGTCTCTTTGTCTTCATCATAGATTTGTTCCTTGGATTGACACAGATCATGAGGGACCGGGGTGTCTTCTTTAACAAAGGCTTTTCCTTTCCCCAAAGTGGAAGTCCTTACGCAAAAGGGAGAAAAATCTTACCTAAAAAATGATAACCAAGGAGGATTCCAGGACTAGCCACCAGCCACAAAATTTAAGCTGCTTCACAGCTCTTTTAAAAGTTAATAATAAGTAACACCAAAAAAACCACTAATAAACAACAGTCGCATAAAAATAAAGTACTTAGGAAGAATTCTAGAAAGGTGAGGGCTTGATGTTCCTGACCTCCTGTCCTCCTCACTCTCCCAACTTGCTGGACTAACAAGTCAAATACACTATTCTGGAGAAGGCTGGAGGAAATCCCACTGTAGCAAAAGTATTAAATTCTCCTGAGGGTAAAGTGGGTCTGGGACAAGCAGGGACGAGTTGAAGGCCCAGGAAAACCTTGGTCAAGATTCAGGTTCGGGAGCTGCCTGAGAACATGTAGCTAGCTGCTGTGAGTCGTATGTGTTCCTCAGCTCTGTGCTGCTTCGGGGAACCACCTAATGCTCATGAAAAGAAAAAGGAAGAGGACTGCCTTGCTGAGCTGACCAAAAACAGCAGGACCCCCAAGCCCCACCCTCACCTAACTGACTTTTTTTAGCTTCCCTGGACAAAAAAAAGGCCTCAAAGCGAAGAGTTTTCCTGATGTGGAAGAGGTGAAACAAAAAACGACAGAAGCACTAAAAGGCATCAAGACGGAAGAGCTCAAAAACTGTTCTGAGCAGTGGAAAAAGCAGCTAGGTAGGCAGACTGCATCAAATGGAGAGTACTTGGAAGGTGACTGACGTTTAGATATGTAAGAATAAATACACAGTTTTTTATTTTTAAAAAACTTCTTTTTTGGGGGGTCCTTCTCTTGTATTTCTGGTAAAAGAAGGACGTAGAAACTAGACAATACCATGCATTTAGATACATCAAATCTCATTCTTCAGAAAAACCCAAAATTAACAGAAGAATTTTTACTATACCACTGTTAAATTGTTTATATACTTATAATAGCACAGAACATTCAGAACTGCTTAAAAAATATGTATTTACCAAGAATCACTGTTTAAAATTGGAATCCAAGTACCTGGTAAATTTTAGTTGTCATATACACTTGTAAGTGATACCACTTGGTTATGGGACTACAGTGATTGGTATAACAAGTTGTAAAGTTTTGCCTAACACTGGTTTACACATAGATAAAAATATATCGGTCCTCTGTAACACATTCTGTGGTACAAAGTTTGAAAAATATAGCACTTAATTCACAGCTCAGAAACTGAAATCTGCATTTAGAGTAGCTAGCTGTTCAAATTCATCAGAAAAGCTTCATTCCACTTTCACAAACTGAGGTCTAAACTGAGTATCTTAACAATGACATACTCTGGCTTCTCCAAAGCTGAAAACTGAAATACCGAATGTGTGTGTATACATGCACGTGCATGTATGTGTCCTTCCATCAGACCATATCAAGGGACTCGTAGGAATTAGGTCATTAAAGTTAGTCAAGTTAGTAACTTAAAGCTGTCAAATAGAGAATAAAGACTCTATCATGCCAAAGAATCATTTTATAGAAAAATGTACCTGAAACTGTAGCATTTCCAGACGTCTGTCAGTGAATTCAAACAGAGCTAATGTTGTCTTCATCATATATAGTGAGTTGACCATGAAAGTGGCCATATCAGCTGTGCCTAAATTGCTGGCTGACACAGTACACATCTGGAGGAGAGGGTCTAAGACACATGATAAAACCTGTACATGAAAAACAAAAAGAATTATTTATTTCTCAACCATGTATATGGTCTTGGGTTAAGGGCACTTCAGAATTAATGACAAGCTAGCTGGAAGGGAGCCAATTTACAGAGGCACATAAGAAAAATATTAATAACCAGATATTTTTAAAAAGTAGGCATCACTGAATCAATGCTTTTTAAATTAAGAGAACTGGTTTAATATTTGAAGGAAAATCAACAATTAGAAAGTGACTTCCAAAGTATGTAGATTAAAAAATGTCAGAAATTGCCAGGTGCGGTGGCTCAAGCCTGTAATTCCAGCACTTTGGAAGGCAGAGTTGAAAGGACTGCCTGAACCCATGGGTTCGAGACCAGCCTGGGCAACTTGGCAAGACCTCGTCTCTACAATAAATAAAAAATTAGCCAGGTGGCACATGCTTGTAGTTCCACCTACTTGGAAGACTGAGGTGGAAGGACTGCCTGAGCCTAGCAAGTCAAGGCTGCAGTGGCCACAAGAGTGCCACCGCACTCCAGCCTGGGCGATAGAGTGAGACTCCAACTTAAAAAAAAAGCCAGAATTTGAGCAGAAAGTACAGTATAGGGGCAAAAGACAATCACGAAAAAAGAACTGACAACATACCTGCACAAAGTCGGCCTGACGAGCATCTAACGGTACAACTGAAGAATCATGAGATGCTAAAACTTCACGCAGCAGCATAAGCGTCTGGTTTAGTGCAGAACTGGGTCCAAGATCAGAGGGTGGGAGCTCAACCTAAAATAAAGAATGGTTTGGCCACTGCTTACATTTTTTCCAGCAAACTTTAATGTGCAAATGTCAGTTGACAGCAAAATATATAAAGATTATATAAAACACTGGTTCACACATTAGTAATCTATAATTTATCAATAGCTTATTTCGAACTATACTGATTAGTACAGAAAGTGACATAAAAGTTATTTGTCAGATTATTTCAGAATTGTGTCACTTTGTACTCTAAAATTCAAAAATTAATGAAAAAAGTCGGTGTTTATTTGAATTGCAGAATTATATCTTAATATGTACTTTAAATGACCCGCTGTTCTGTGTTTTTAGTCCAAGTCATAAAGAAAAAGCAACTGTAGACCAGTGCTATTTCAACTATAACATAATTGAGAAACATCACCTAGAACCCAAACCTCAGAGCTCTTGGTTCAATATGTATAGGCTGGAGTCCAGAGACTGATCATTCAACAAGCACCCCCTGAGTGTCTCAGGAGACCAGCCCATGAACCACACACTAAAAATTACTTCACAGAAACCGTACAACAATTACCATTATGACCCTGGGCTTTAGAATGAAATAAACTGAGTTTAAATTTTGGATCTTCCACTTACATACATAACCTTGGAGGAGTAATTTAACTTTTCAGAGCTTCAGCGGGATTCTGTAGGTAGTAAATGGGATTGCTGCATCTAAGCAGCTGAGCAGAGTGCCTAGCACTCAAGAAGGTATACCAAGTTCATTATCCCTACTTGATGGCACCATGATACTCAAAGACTGCCTGTGAATTTCTTTAAAAACATTTTCCGCAGTACTCATAATGTTAATACAGACAGATTTTATAAATAAAACAAAAAGTTGGCATTTAGAAGATCATGTAAGATTCTATAGCCTTGTGGCAGGTAGGTAGATAAGGATGTCTAGAAGTCTTCTCCCTTCATAAAAGCAGTAAGAACAAAAAGTTATAAAACATGCAACAAGAAAATATGATCCGTGTACGGAAAAAAAAGTCAACAAAAACTTTCTTCGAGGAAGTCCAGATGTAAGACTTACTATACAAAGACTTTAACTTAGCTATTTTAAATATGTTCAAAGACCAATGAAAATCATATCTGAAAAACTAAAAGAAAGTATTAAAGCAATCGCTAACCAATAAGGAACACCAATGAAGACAGAGAAGTAAAAAAACATAACCAAATAGAAATTCTGGAGTTGAAAAACACAATAACTAAAATGAAAAAGTTCACTATAAAAGTTTTACAAGCAGATTTGAGCAAGCAGAATAAATAATCAGTGAATTTAAAGACAGGTCAATTATAAAGTCTGAGAAACTAAGAAAAAAAAGAATGAAAGTAAATGAACAGAGCTGTAGAGATAAGACATCATCAACATCATACGTATAGTGGGAATTCCAGAAGGACAGAACAAAGAGAGAAAAAGGCAGAAAACATATTTGAAGAAATAATGGCAAAATGATTCCCAAATTTGCTTAAAAAAAAAAAAAAAGAAACAGAAACAAAAACATTATTCAAACATCCAAGAAGCTATTTGACTTCTAAGTAGTATAAACTCAGAGCTCCACATTGAGACACACCATAGCAAAACTGTCAAAAGATAAAGAGGTAAACTGAAAGCAACAAGAAGTGACTCATTTTGAACAACGGATTTTCAACAAGATCAACAGTTGATTTCTCACCAGAAAACATTCAGGCCAGAGGCACTGAATTCATGGGGTAAAAGAAATGTCAACTAAAAATTTCATATTCAGAAAAACTGTTCTTCAAGACTGAAGGAAAAATTAAGACATTCTTGAATAAAGAAAAAAATGTTTCACTAGCTGCCTTGCCCTACAAGAAGTACTAAAGGAAATTAGACAGTAACTTGATTCACATGAATAAATAAAGGACACTGGTAAAGACTCCAACAAAGTTAAATACAAAAGACAATTTTAATGTACTTTTTGTATTATAACCCCCCCTTTTTTTTGAGTTGGGGTCCTGCTCTGTCACCCAGGCTGGAGTACAGTGACACGTTCATAGCTCACTGCAGCCTCGACCTCCTGGGTTTAGGAGATCTTCCCACCCTAGCCTCCTGAGTAGCTGGGACTGCAAGTGTGTGCTGCCATACCAAGCTAATGCTTTTTAATGTTTAGAGAAACGAGGTCTTGTTAGGTCTCCCAGGCTGGTCTTGAACTCTGGGCTCAAGCAAAGTGCTGAGATTACAGGTGTAAGTCACCACACCCAGTCCATGTTTTAAATCCTTTAGAATGAAAATAGGCATATCAGTTTTACAACAATAGTGATTCCTGCCCCCTAAAACTGAATGAAATATACCAAGCTGTTAATAATAGTTAATTCTATTTTCTTGTTTATTGTTTCATTTGCTTTAAAATAAGCATGTATTTATTTAATAGAAATCAACGTATTGAGCATTTAAAATTTTAAATATAAAAGTATTGCACATACATGCATGCTTATACATAAGTAATATCAATTGAACAGAAGATACTCATAGAAAAAATTATTCAGTGGAATCTTCGGCTTAGTACAAATCAGTAAGATCTGCCAATAAGCTAACAGCTATAACACAGAAACAGGCAGCCACAGGAACCACAGCAAACACATGCGTGTGTCATAATCTCCCAATAGCTTTCATTAATTGAAAAAATAACCTAGCAAACCCTCCAGGGAAGCTAGCTGTGGAGCACAGCTTTAGGAGACTACACACCACATGATTAAGATCCTAAATGTTCAATGTGTCACGTTCTCTCCAAAGTTACAAACAATAGTATGCAGCACCATTTGGAAGCAAAACAAAAACAAAAAAAACAAACAAAAAAAACAGTTTATTTCAAAAAATTCACACAAGAAACTTCCAAACAAAACAAACAGTATACATCGATAAGAGAAAGTTGAAAATTTTATTTATTCCCTAGAATTAAGGTCTTTAAGTGCTGTGTAAATTTGAAGCTGAAGTCACACCCTGCCATAGTTAGAGCCAATGGTAAATGGTACAAGTGGGTGCTACGTGAACCCATGTCACTCAACCAACTGCCGTTCTATGCGGTGCTTTGCACATATCCTTCAAACTACAGCAGTTCAGAACCACACTTCTAAGGCAAATTGACAGTTATGGCTATTTCTCAGATATACATGATTTATGACTAAATAATTCGGGAGCAGAATAACAAAATCTAAAGAAAGAAAATCTCAATATTCTTTCTGTCACTGCCATTTCTTTTCATTTAGTAAAATTCATTTCTAATGGTGAAACTTTATAAGAGGCAAGTCTATCTCTATTTCCTTTGATGTCCCTCCAGCATGTCCACGTACTTTATACCATCCATGAGACCCCTTGGGGAAAGACCCTCTTTACTATGTCTTTCATATCTCCGTATTAAGACTGTGGAGCCCAAACCCCAGAATCAAACAGGCTTTTTGATTTCAAGAACCTGTAACAAGTAGTAGCAACCACTATAAAACAAACAAAGTAAATCCTACAAACTCCATGTACAAGAATAATCACAATACAGAAATTCCTGTGAGCTTTAAGCTGTGTAGCAAATCCCAATTCATTCACACACTACTTCTTTGGAAACCAGTCAGTACCAGAAAGTGAGTGGCAGATGCATCCTCAGAGTGACAGAGTGACTGGGAGAAAGAGGTGTTAATATCATCACTGCTGCTTCTGCCATGATGTAAGCTATTGATAGAAATCTTAAACATAGATGGGGAAAAGTTGAAGAAGCTCTGAACTTCTGCCCTGTAGATAAAGATGTGCCTTGTTCTTATTCTGTATTATGTCTGACCTTTCCCTCTATTTGATCTCAAACTCTCAGAAATCTTAACTAGAGCTGTAACCTGCAGTTGGTCACAGGACACAGGGTGTCTATCCAAAGCCAGAGCACCCAAGAACTTGTCAGGCCAGTAAACGTTGTTGTAAACCCTGCCACATGTCACTTAAGATGCCCACATCACAATGTGTGCCGCTAGCCCAAGCACATTCACACTAACGAACGGATGCAAATCACTGGCTGTCTTCAGAGCACACTTTCTGGAGACCATGAGCAAACATCTTTGTTTTATTTTGTTTTTAAATCCAAAATACGAGCAAGGCTGCTAAAGTTAAGACGTGGAGTATCTGCTTCAACTGGACTGCAGATTCCTCATTTCAGGTACGTCTTATTTACTGCTCTACCTTTCAGAATTTTGCATAATGCATGTTTAATTAATAAAAAATGATGACTCTAGTCACTTAGTCATTTACATTCATGTTTCTGTAGCACAGTTAAGACATAAGACACAAATATGCAACTACACAACATATTTAATAAATTGTTTTGAAATACCAAGGGAGTCTATTTTTTTTTTTTTTTTTAAAGAAAGCAGGATTTATTGAAAGGACAAAAAGCTTCCACAGTGGGAGGGGACCTGAGGGTGTTGCCAGGAATCATTTCTTAATAAGTCATTGGACAATAAACCTATTCTATCAGGGTATGCTTTGGCTTTACTAATATTATTTAATTTGGAAAATGAACCAAAATAAATAACATATAACTAGCTTCTATGTGAAGGAAAGAAATTCTTAAGTACAGGATAAAATATGTCTGCAAAAGAAAAATAACATTTATTAAGCCCCAACACGCTAAATGAAAAATACAGGATATAAAATTACATGCACAGCATGTGTATAGGTACATATACATCCACATTTTTGAAAGATTGAAATATTAAAAATATTGAATATTATCTGCAATTATTTTTAGCTGTCCTTTACATACCTACGTTCAAAATGAACAGATTATTTTATCATGCATAAAAAAAAATTGATAAACTGTACCAAGCATTTCATTTGTTAACTTCATTTAATCCTAATGAGCCTAAGGTAAATATTATCCCCATTTTACAGAAGATAAATAAGACTGATCAGAAGGGAGAGGAAGGTAATGATATCCAATTTTATATATGAGGAAATGGAAGCAGAGACAGATTAAGTAACCTGCCAAAGGTCC